AAAAAAAAAAAAAAAAAAAAAAAAAAAAGAAGCTCTAAAATTAATAAATATGGTGTAAAATCACACATGAACAGAGTAGCGAGTGGCTAGCGGAAAGGGGCAACAGCAGCGTGGTGGTAGCGAATGAAAGGACTTGGTTAATTCATTTGTATTATTATTTTTTTTCAATTGATTTACAGTAGCTTGTGGTTTTTCTAATTGATTTACAGCAGTAGGTGGCTTATTTATTCAATTGATGAGCAATTGAGCATGCTCCAGCAGGCAATGGGTGGTTTTATTTTTTTTAGTTGTTTTTTTTTTATTTTATTTTTTTGGCAGCCAGCCTGCCTAGCCCGCGGCCCATGGCGGGGGTGGGCCGGGCTGGCTATTTTCATGACGAGTCGGCCCGCCCCGTCCCGCCAAAAGGCGGGTTTTGGCGGGCTGTGGGCCGGCCTGTTTTGACAAGTCTAATGACTAGCTTCCAAGGCCCGAGATCGAATTCAACGCCAGTTGAAGGAGGCAACCGTTAGAGGCATTAAAAAAGAAAAAAAAATAAAAAAAGGAAGGTTTTCCAAATATAATAATAGTAATATTAGCACTGTCAAAACGGGTCATGGCCTGCGGGCTGGCCCGTCCGCCCGCTTAAATAGACGGGCTTGGGCCTTTGCTTGGCCAGCTCGTTCAATCGCAGGACTATTTGGCCCGCTCCGTTGGCGCGGGCTGGACCGCGGGTCAGCCGTTCTTTTTTTTTTATAACAAGTATTGTATATTTGTATTCTTTTTTTGTCTCGAATTTAATTGTATAATATAAATATGAAATAAAAATGTAAATTTTTTTATGACAAGTATTGTATTCTTTTTTTTCTTGAATTTAATTGTATAATATAAATATGAAATAAAAATGTAAAGACGTGAAGAATTTGAGCAAGGTGGAGATTTGATGGAGCTGACAAAACATTGATCGTCCACTTTTAAATGTCCCAATCAAATCACTTTTCTTAATATAGCATAATAGCAACAACAATTATTAAAAATAACCAATTATTAAAGGATGAAAGTTTTTAATTTCATTTTGCATTTTACCACAATTCAGTCACAATATATGGTCACCATCGAACAATTCAATCACAATATATGGTCACCATCGAGATCAAAATGTTGTACAAGTAATTCTTATTCAATTCCTATTGTTTTCTTTTTCCTTTTATAGTTTGAATTTACAAACCAAAATTGCATTATAAATTGCAAAAAATAATAATAACAATAAAAAACAGTAATTTTAAAAAAAAAAATCGCGGGCAGGCCTATTTAGCCCGCAGACTAATGTGTGCGGGCGGGCAGGCTACGGGCCATGAATTGACCAGCCTGGAGAAATGCGGGCCATTTTGGCCCGTCCCGTCTGAACCGCGGGCCGACTGGACCGGCCCATTTGACAGTGCTACTAGTGTAATATAGATGATTCTTATGATGCAATTCGTAGTGAGCCTGCCACGGTGCCACCGGTTGATTAATACAGCAAAACATCATGGACACGAGGCGACATATTATGAATACATGTGGTGGCACACAAAGAAAACAAGATAGAAATTTGAAACCTCACTCCGGCGTATAAAAAGGGCAAAGAGAGAAGGGAAAAACAGTACACACCCAAAAATGGAGGGAACTGAACGACCGGCGGCGGTAGCGGCGGTGGAGACCGACACGTGGCTTAGGAAGCACCGCCTTATCTACCTCGGAGCAACCCGACACCCTTTCACTCTAAGCATTCGCGACGGCACCGTTGACCCATCTTCCTTCAAGCGCTGGCTCGTAAGAGAACAAATCTCTCCCCTTTTTCCATTTTGAGATTTAATTTTGTTGTTTAATGGCTTCATAGTTCATAAATTGGTCTGTGTTTAATTACTTGTGTTTTTTTACCGGCTTCGATTTATTGGGCTTTGCTTTAGTTGTACAATTTAGGGTTTACTAAATTTAATTGCTTCTTTTACCTTAATTTCTATGTTCTTGGCGGTTAGATAACTGGATGTTATCGTTGTGTTTGTAAATTGATGATTTATGATATTGGATTGTGGAAAGCGGATTAAAGATTTCATTTTTGTTCCTAATTTTATTGTATTTCAAGATTCAATTTTTTTCTTCGCTCGTATTATTAGTTTGTTCTGATTCGTCTTTTCGATTGTGTTATAGCTTGGGCTTGTAAAGTATTGACTTTACATTCTTGAGAATGCCCATTTTGCAGTATTTTGAGAATGAAGGTTTAGTGATAGAATGAGAAATGATTGTACAAAACTTATCGAGTTAGTCCGTTTCCCGAATGCGTTCTAATACGAGCCTATTGTTTTCACTCGGATGCCTGTAATCCCGCGTTGGGTGTTTGGGGTAAAGTTTTGTGCTTTACACACATCACCCATATTTTGCATCAAGAAACATAAAACTCAGAAGTAATAAAAAACTTTTCTGCTAGTTTTATGTGTATATTGTACATTGTTGATTGTACAGCTGATAAATCACGGAACTTTTTTTTTAATTAAAATGCAGGGACAAGATTACATATTTGTCCGAGCATTCGTCCCGTTTGTTGCAAGTGTATTGCTGAAAGCGTGGAAGGAATCAGATGATAAAGCAGATATTGATCTGATTCTGGGTGGGATGGCTGCTTTGAACGATGAAATTTCATGGTTCAAAACGGAAGCTTCCAAGTGGAGTATTGCTTTGGAAAGTGTCGTGCCTCAACAGGTTAATCTCGATTACTGCAGGTATACTTCAACCTCTCTTCGTATTTCTTGGTGCAATACAACTCATTGTTCGTGAGAAAATCTTGTAGAGGGTTATATTGTATATATATATAAAATAGGTTAGTGATAGTTTTGCTGATTTATAAATTACAAATACCAAACAAAATTCCTACTTTGTGCACGAAAGGCTTTTGGTTTATGGTTTACTTCGTTATATAACAAAAAGACCAAGAAATATTTCAAGATTACAAATATTCTCCTCATAATTTCTGCTTTATTGTAAACTGCACCCTGACGATGGAGTAATTGTTAGGTTCGTGCAAATCTCGATGAGGTATTTGTAACACTTCTACGGGATTTTTATTTTTTATTTTTGGTCACTATATAATTACACGCATATATTTGTCCAAGGTATACGAGTGATCTTCGAACTGTGTATAATGTGATGGCAGATTCTTGGAGAGCTTCATGGGCCCAGACGTTGACTACACCCAGGCCATAACGGCATTCTGGGCAATCGAAACCGTTTATCAAGACAGCTTTGCTCACTGCTTGGAGGAGGGCTCCAGAACTCCCGACGAACTAAAAGAAACTTGCCAGAGATGGGGAAATGACGGTTTTGGTCAGTATTGTCGTGCCCTTAAAAGCATAGCTGACCGTCGATTGGCGAAGGCTTCTGATGACGTGGCAGCCAAAGCCGAGTTGAACTTGATAAGGATACTCGAACACGAAGTTGAATTTTGGAACATGAGTCGCGGGGCAGTCAGTTTGACCGGGTCGTAAAAATTTCATGAGATATTTTGTAATGCATGGTACAAAGTTGATAGATATTGTGTGTATATGTGTGTGATTGATCCACACTTATTAGCTTTTGTTGCCATAGGAAGACAGCCTACATCTCTTTTTCTTTTTTTTTT